CTTTTCTTTTCTTTTCTTTTCTTTTCTTTTCTTTTCTTTTCTTTTCTCTCTCTCTCTCTCTCTCTCTCTCTCTCTCTTTTCTTAAGATTTATTTACTTACTTAATGTATATAAGTGCTCTATCTGCATGCCAGAAGAGGGCATTAGATCACATTATAGATGGTTTTGTGAGCCCCCATGTGGTTGCTGGGAATTGAACTCAGGACCTCTGGAAGAGCAGACAGTGCTCTTAACTGCTGAGCCATGTCTCCAGCCCCCTTCTTTCTTTCTTTCTCTCTCTCTCTCTCTCTCTCTCTCTCTCTCTGTCTTTTTTATCCCAAAGGTTTTGTTGTCTTCATTTTGATTTAGCCCTGGGAATTTTGATTTCTTTCTTGATTTCCTCTTTCACCTCTTCATCATTCAGTGCTGAGTTGTTTAGTCTCTGTGAATTTGTGTATTTACTAGAGGTTTGCTTGCGGTTTATTTTAAGCTGAAGCGCTGTGGTCAGTTAGGACCTATGAAGTTATTTCAGTCTTTCAGAATTTGTTAAGATTGTTTTATGCCCTAAGATATGATCTGTTTCTGAGACACTTCTATGGGCTGCTGAGTAGAATGTATATTCTTTGATATTTGGGTGGAATATTCTATAGATACCTGTTAAATTCACTTGATGTATGAATCTAACACTGAATTTTGATGTTTATTTCTTGTCCAGATAACCTGTCTATTGGAGACAGTGGGGTATTTAAATCACCTAATACTAGATTAATATTAATCTGTGCCTTTTCAAGATCTATTTACTATATATGTATGAGTGTTTTGTCTGCATGTATGTATATATACCACATACATGTCTGCGGCCTGTGGAGGTCAGAAGAGGGCATACCCTGGAACTGAAGTTAAGGTTAGTTGTAAGCCATCGTGTGGGTTCTGGGAGCCAGCCCCTGGTGTGCTTATTATAAAATTAGGGGCACCAGAGTCTATTTGCTTATGTTTAAGATTGTAATGTCATTTTGGTTCATTGTTCCCTGTGAATCCCCTAGATGTGTTCACCTGCAGCCTGCATCTTTCATCTGTTGTCCGGTTTTTTATCCTGTACAGAATCAACTAGGGCTGTCCTTGTTCTCCTATCTTGAAGCCTAAAGCAATATTCATAAACGTAAATGGATCCATCCATTTTCTGTGGTCTAAATTCCAACTTACCTGTGATTTCAAAATATTACAGTTTTTTTTTTTCTATTTTAATGGCTAATAGGAAGGGGAAATACAATACATGTTTGTTTGTCAATATCAGTTTTTCTTTTATTCCATATTAAAGAGATTATGACATCATTGTACAATGCCTGCTCTGTGATAAACTAACTTTTTATTTACATTTGGGCCAGTTAATCTCTCTCTCTCTGAGTGTGTACACTCACTTCATGCTTGCACATACAATTGTGTTTGGAAGTCAGAGAACAATCTTTGTTGTTCACTACTGCATATGCCAGGCTAGCTGGCCCATCAGCTTCCAGGGTCCTCCTCGCATTCTGTACATTCCATATTAGCATAAGAGCTCCAAGACCATGGGCACTGAACCACAAGATTTTCTTTACACTGCTGGATGTTGATTTTTTTTTTTTTTTTTTTTTGCTTTGCTTTTATTGTAACTATGCCTTGATTCTTCCTGTTTCAAGTAAAAAGCATTTAACTTATTTTTTATTTTACAGGATTCCACAGTTAAAGTTATCATGTCTGGCTTTACCTAAGTTCAAACTCAGACTTGCATAGTGTGTGCTTTTTATACTGAGCCATCTCCTAGACCCTTCCTAGATCTTTTTTTCTAATACAGTATATCCTTCCACTCTCCCAGTTCCCCTCCCACCTTCCCTCTCCCCGACATCTACTCCTCCAGTTTCCCTTCAGAAAAGAGCAGGCTTCCCAGGGACATCAACCAAACACAGCATAACAAGATACAAAGCTGGCTGAGGCAACCCAGTAGGAGAAAACAGGTCCCCAGAGTATGCAAAGAGTCAGAGACACATCTGCTCCCACTGTTAGGGGTCTCACAAAAACACCAAACTAACAACTGTAACATACATGCAAGTCTACTTCAGACCCCTGCGGCTCTGAGACTGTGGCTTCAGTGCCCCTATGAGCCCTGCTTGGTTGATGATTCAGTGGGCTGTGTTCTCCTGATATCCTGGACCCCTCTGGCTCCTACAAACCTTCCTCCCCCTCTTCCATGGGGTTCCCTGAGCTTCAGGGGGAGGGACCCAGTGGAGATCTCCAGCTTGAACTCCCCCCTTAATGTTTGCCTTCAGGTCTCTGCATCTGTTCCCATCAGCTGCCAGAGGAAGTGTCTCTGATGGTAATTAACTAAGCACTGACCATGCTCTGTTCTTAGCCAGTCTGTTAATGTCATCATGGATAGTGGGGTATGTTAATTAGCTTTGCCTTCCTGTTACAATATCCCTGAGAAAAGTAACTGAAGTCTTTGTGATGTTTAGTCTTCTAGTTAGGTTGGCATAATTTGGAAGCACTTAGGAACCACACCACCAAGGTGTGTCTGTGGGAGTGTTTGCAGAAGTTAACTAAGGAGGGAGTACCCACTCTGAATCTGTGTGGTACCTGTCTTCATTTCTATTTGTGTTGTTATGATAAAGTACCCTGAATGCAGTGTAAGAAAGGGAGGGTTTAACTCACACTTCAAGATATAATTCATCCTGATGGAGGAGTCAAGGGAGCAAGAACTTGAAGCAGCTGGTCATCTTATATCTGAAGTCAGAAGGAGAAAGTGGTAAATACATGCTGTGTTCAGCTCATTTCCTCCAGCATTATCCCCTCCCCAGGGGGTGATTTCATCCACAATTAAAATGAATCATCTCCCATCAGTTAACATGATCAGGATAAACACTGCAGGTGTGCCCCGAAGCCCATCCATCAGCCCATCCATCAGGTATTCAACTCTTGCCATTACACATAACCCTGATCTGGGATCCCAGACTGAAGAAAAACAGAAGAATTCAGATGGAAACCAGAATTCTCTGCTCTGTTTCCTGATGTTCTGGGTTTGGAGCCTCTGCTGCATAAGCCTGTCCCCTATGAATTCTGCCGCGTTCTCCCATGGTAGCAGTCCCTCTCGAGTCACAACCCACAATAAAGCTGACATCTCATGAACTGCTATTTAGTCACAATGATAAGAAAAGTAACTTACACAAGTTGAAAGGTTTCTTTTGTGTCATGGTTCAGATAATTCAATCTGTTGTTACTTGGCTTTATTGATTTGTGAAGAGGCAGAACATTATCATCTTGGTAACTAGTACTGGATGAGGATACTCACTCTTATAATCTATTCTAAAAATATGTGATTTCAGGCAGCTGATACTAACACTTACCTGTGCTAGTAGTAGTGTTGTGCGGTGAAAATGGTAAAGGCCTGTGCACCAGTAAAAATTGTAAGTTCCAGCAGCATAGTTGGTATATTGCTGGTGCTGCTGCTGCTGCTGCTTTACCAAGAATTCAAAGCTAATGTGGGGATTTTTGTGTTAGAGACTACAGTTATGAATGTAAAATACAAGTCTGATGAGCAGGATATATATTGAACATTTAGAAAACATAGATTTTCAGTATTGTGCGTCTCATCTTTTCTTCTGGAAACATCTTGGTTATTTTAGGGCTCTGTGACCTTTGAAGATGTGGCTGTAAACTTTACTGTGGAGGAGTGGGCTCTACTAGATCCTTCCCAAAAGAAGATGCACAGAGATGTAATGGAGGAGACCTTCAGGAACCTGGCTGCTATAGGTATGAACAAGATCATGCTTTTACCTAATCAGATTGTAAGTCTGTCTTCTTCAAAAAGGCTGCTTCATGGTTTGTAATACGGTAAGGGTAAACTTGATAACTACATCAGGCATGGCCATGTTATACCGGGAGGCTACATAGAATCTGCTATTTGTTTCTGTTTTGACAAAGTAAATCAGATTTCTCTGCGTCTGTATTCTAGGGAAAACACAGGAAGACCAGGACGGACTTGATGACCACAGATATTCTAAAAGAAATCAAAGGTAACTTTACCAATTCATGATAATGTGTCTTAAGAATCTGGAAATGGCCAGTAGTTTTTTTTAAATCAAGACAACTATCCAAATAAGCCCAGCTTTAAGGTGATGAAATCTAAAGGATTTATCTCCCAAAAGTACATACAGAATTAGAAATATTTACAGGGTTGATATGCTAATGCCAGAGATACTTTCTAATGGTTTGTATACATAGATTGTGTCCAAGCACAGAGTTAATAAACGAAAAAATAATGTGTATCCTTCCTTTGAGCTTTCAGTATGCAGTATATAGAAAATATAAGGGAATTTTATTTTCACTCTGGGAACAATCTTCAAGGTATCGTATGTATATTAAAATTTTTTAAATAGAAAATAGAGGGTTTTTTTTTTTTTTCAGCATTTCACATAAGGAATATTCAAATACATCTACCTGTGAGGCAAATATGATCACTCATGCCCTTATTCCCAGTTATTAGGAGTCTGGCTATGTGTTGAATTTGAAGGTAGCCCATCCCTCATAGCAAGAGATTGACCTCAAAAATATGTAAGACTTACATATTCTTCATTTCCAAAATAATTAACCTGTTGGAAGTATTAAGAAATACCACATGATTGGGCTAGCAAAATAACTTCATCAGGTAAAGGCATCACTGCCAAGCTTGATGACCTCAATTCAGTCTCATATAGTAGAAGAGAACCAACTCCTACAAGCTATCCTCTGACTTCCATTTGCCCACTGTCGCACATATATAGTAAATAAATAAACGTTAACACAAAAAGAAACCCTATATGAATACAGTGTCTTGATATTACCTGTCTCTACATCCTATTGGACCTTGAATCATAATAAAAAAATTCTCAGGAATTCTGCTGGTAGGGAATTTATAACTTATTGGTGTATTTTACTTTTTTTTTTTTTTTTTTTAGCAGAAATGAAATTGTGGAAAGACTGTTGGAACATAACAAAGGTAGTGAGTGTGAAGTACTCTTCAGACAAATTCCAAATAATGTTGTGAAGAGGAAGTTTTCTCATAGAGCGATGCTTTGTGAAAGCCATGTGTGTAAAGACAACATGCTCATTGGTCATTCATCTCTTAATGTGTCTGTGCCTCTTCAGACTACACATAAACCTCATGAATATGAGCTATGTGGAGAGAGCCTCTATAAATTTGGAGAATGTGAGAAAGCCTTTATTTATCCAGAATGCTTTCTGAAGCATGAAGACATTGACATTGGACAGAGATCTTATGAATGCCACCATTGTGAGAAGATCTTCAAAAGTAATGGTTACTTTCAAATATGTGTGAATAATGAAACTAAAGAAGAAATATGTATGGATAAGCAGGAGTATAATGCCTTTACTTACCCTGATTTTCTTCAGCACGTTGAAAAGATCCACACTGGAAAGAAACCCTATGTATGTAAACAGTGTGGGAAAACTTTTTCTTTTTTGAGTAACATTCGAAGGCATGAACGGACTCACACTGGAGAGAAACCGTACAAATGTAGTATATGTGATAAAGCCTTCACTTGTTTGACTAACTTTCAAGAACATGAAAGAACTCACACCGGAGAGAAGCCCTATTTATGTGCACGATGTGGGAAATCCTTTTCTTTCCTGAGTAACATTCGAAGACATGAACGTACCCACACTGGAGAGAAACCGTACAGATGTAATATCTGTGGAAAGGCCTTCAGTTATTTGACTAACTTTCAAAACCATGAAAGAACTCACACCGGAGAGAAACCTTATGTGTGTGCACAATGTGGGAAAGCTTTCACTTACTACTATTCCTTCCAGACACATAAACGATGCCACACTGGAGAAAAACCCTATGTATGTAAACAGTGTGGAAAAGCCTTCAGTTATTACAATTCCATTCAGACACATAAACGATGCCACACCGGAGAAAAGCCTTATGTATGTAAGCTGTGCGATAAAGCGTTTACTACTCTCAGTTCTCTTCGGTACCATGAGAGGATTCACAGTGGGGAGAAGCCCCATGTATGTTTGCAGTGTGGGAAAGGTTTCATTTCTTCAAGTACACTTCGAATACATAAAAGGATTCACACTGGAGAGAAACCCTACAAATGTAAACAGTGTGGGAAAGTCTTTAGTGTAGACAGTTCCCTTCGATACCATGAGAGGATTCACAGTGGGGAGAAACCCTATGTGTGTAAGCAGTGCGGGAAAGCTTTCACTCGCCACACCTCCCTCCGGCGACATGAGAGGACCCACTGTGGGGAGAAACCCTTTGTATGCAAGCAATGTGGGAAAGGTTTCATTTCTTCCAGCAACTTTCAAAAACACGAATGGACTCATTCTGGAGAGAGACTGTGTGTATGTAAACTATGTGGGAAAGCCTTCACTGGTCATAGTTCGCTGCGACGCCATGAAAGAATTCACAGTGGAGAAAAACCCTATGTGTGTAAGCACTGTGAGAAGGGTTTCTCTTCTTTGAGTAGTTGTCAGAGACATGAACAAATTCACACTGGTGAGAAACCCTATGCATGTAAGAATTGTGGGAAAGCCTTCACTAATCCCAGTGCCCTTCGAAATCATGAAAGGATTCACAGTGGCGAAAAGCCCTATGTCTGTGAGCAGTGTGGGAAGAGTTTCATTTCTTTTAGTAAGTCAAGAATACATTTACGGATTCACACTGGAGAGAAACCATATAAGTGTAAGCAATGTGGGAAAGCCTTCACTGGTCACAGTTCCCTTCGACGTCATGAAAGAATCCACAGTGGGGAGAAGCCTTTTGTATGTAAACGCTGTGGAAAATCCTTCTATACTTTAAGTGATTGTCAAAGACATGAACAAATTCACACTGGTGAGAAACCTTACATTTGCAAGCAATGTGGGAAAGCCTTTACCCGGTCCAGTTCTCTTAAAATACATGAGAAGACTCACACTAGAAGGAATTCCTAAGTGTAGAACATGGAAAGACCTTGTTGACAGTGCTTAGGGCAGAGAACCAGTGCCATGTTGTCTGTAGGAATGCTTCCAGTCACCTTGGTTATATTCACAAGTGTAATAGTTCGTACCGTGGTAAGAAACCTCAGATGGATGTGTGGATGTCTTCAGTGGGCTAACCTCTGAGAATGGACCCGTATCAGAACTTGCATAACAAACTTATAAGCTGGTACAACAATTTTCAATGTTTTGTGAAGATCTTTTAAGTAACAGAATTCATAAATTCTTTTAAGATTTCTGTGAATGAATTTGTGAAAGAACTGTGCATTAATTGGTCTAATTCAGAAGGTAAGTCTCTGGAATGTTTACTTCTAATTTTTATTCTCGTAAATAAACTTTCAGGTGACCGATTCTCTAAGTGTCTTTCTACAGTGAAGCATGAACTTAATGGGTAGTGTCTTTTTACAAGTTATGTACATTTCTTCTCTTTTTGTGTTGGATCCACATGTAAATTGAATGTATGTGAACTGAATTCTAATATGTTTTTAGAGTAATGTTAATGAGCTGTTGAAAATCCAGTTTTATTCTTAGGATTTCTCTATTGAGATTATATGGCAGCCTCTTTGATCTTTTTTGTCTTGTTGGGTTTTTTTTTTTTTCTTCTTTTTTTTGTTTTGAGGCAGGGTTTCTCTTTGTAGTCCTAACTGTCCTGGAACTGGCTCCTTAGAACAGGCTGGCATCAATCTCAGAGATCTATCTGCCTCTGTCTCCTGAGTGCTAGGACTAAGGCATGTGTCACCATGTCTGGCTTATCTTTGATGATTATACTGTATCTTTTCTGTTCTTTTTCTCATTGCTAATACCAAGTACTTGAAACAACTTAAAGGGTAGAATTTCTTCCCTTTGGCTCACCTGTCATGGAAGGAAAGTCATCAAGTACAAGAATTTATATCATTGTGGACATACATACAAAAAAACTTATATGTGTTATAAGAGACCAGTAGAAGATTTATCAAGGACAGTCTTTCCTAATGACCCACTTCCTCCAACTATGCCATATCTCCTTCATTTCACCACTCCCAACTGTACCTTCATGAACACATGTAGATAGAGCCCTGTTGAGCTAATCTGGATTACAAAGCATAGTTGGGCTACTCACAGTGAAGTCCAGTTGGTTTCTTAGATCAGATATTTTGTGTTTTATATTTTGATACATGTTTTCTTGAAGACTTTATATGTAGAGTCCTGAAGTATTTTGGCCAATGTACAGATTTTCAAATGAGAAGATACCTGTAAATATCCTACCATAATCATAAATTAGAATGTATGACTGCCATTATTTTTTTAATGTCAAGTCATTATGTGCTTACAAGTAATGACACTTTATCCATATTTTAATTTCACTTCAGGTTTGTGTTATGACTTGTCATTTTCCCTTTACTCACACCAAAAAAAGAGAAATTGCAGAGTTCTTACCTTTTAAGGACTAATATGTAACGAGTTATGCTTCTAAATCTATCCATTAACCACAGTGGCCATGTATTTTCTCATTAAAATCACTTTTGTTTATGTTTGTTTTTTGAGACAGGATCTTACTCTGAACCCATGTTGGCCTGTACTTCACTATTTCAAAGATAACGGATCCTGAGCCATTACAGCATGCCTGATAGTCATTCTTAAACTTCTGAAGGATTTGTTTGTTTTAGAGGGATCACTTGGCACTAAGCATAAAATGTCCCCCCATACACTATAGGTGTGAGTACAGTTACAGCTTTATTAGTATTTCTTTCTTAATGGAAAGGTTGAAATAACTGACTAAACAGAAACCTAAGGAGTGAGAAGAACTCAGTACAATTAATAAGGGCGAGGGTGGTTCTGTTACATGTTTTAAAAGTACACTTTCCCAGAGTTTAAAGACATACACAGGATGCTTTTGTTGTTTTATTCATCTGAATCACTGAGGAACATGTACCTTTGGAGGTGTGTGACATTTATCTTAAGACTTGGCCTTACCATGGGAATGAGATCAACTACATTCTTCCAGATCCATGTTTCATTTTTTTTTAACTTATAAAGTTTTATTGTTTAGAAACAGTACTTGTTTTATATAAGACATTGTTCTCTGGTAAATACAGTTGTTCTTTGGTGGTATGTTTCCAGAAATCCAAGCTTAAATAAGTATATTGTAGGGTGAAAGTGTACATGATACATTTAAGTTACTAAACTTCAAAGCTAAGTTAAAGCTAGTTGGTATGTTCTGATCATTTCTACTAGTCTAGAAGCCTAAAAAAATGGCTTTTATACTATGTTGACTATATCATATAGTTCACCAAGCACTTGTATGGAATGGCATCAGTTTCTGTGCTCCTGAACAGGTGGTAGCTTACTGCGCTACCATTATCATCAGAAACTGTACTTGCATATCTCAACATCAGATTGAGCTTATTCTTTTGAAAAGTCAAGATGTTTTCTGATGTGTATTTTACCCCTTCACATGAAAACTCAAAAGCAAGACTGTGGTGAGTCAATGACCATCCTTGCCTCAACTCAAAAGTGTAATCCACTTGCCCCCTGTATGCATATACTGCTTAACTCTTCTAGAATTTATATTAGTTGCTTTTGTATTGCTGTGGTAAAACAGATGGCAGAACAACTTAGAAGATTTTTCCTAACTTATGTTCTTAGTCCATTGACCCAAGGAAGGCATGATGACAATAGAAATCAGGATCTCTCCATAGTATGTAACTGCCTTAGTCATTGTTCTGTTGCTGTGAAGAGACACCATGACCCCTTAGAAAATGTATAACTGGGAGCTTGCTTACAGTTTCAGAGGGTTGGTCTGTTGTGGTGGGGAGCATGGTGGCACACATGGTTTAGAACTGGTAACTGAGCTGCCTCATAATCTGCAGGCCAGGAGAAGTCAGGCTGGGCCTGGTGTGAGCTTTTTGAAACTTCCAAGCAACAAGGCCTCACTTACTCCTTTCACAGTTCTACTCCCTGATGACTAAGCATTCAAATATATGAGTCTTTGGGGACTATACTTATTCAAACCACCACAGTACCTGGCAGTCAGGAAGCTCCTGGCAAGTAGGAGGTAAGTGGGCATAGCCTTGCAAAGCAGTCCTGCTTCCAGTGATGCACCTCCTCCACCCAGTCCCCACTTCTTGAAATAGCATCACGCAGTGAGCGCTGAAAGGGAAAACATGGTTCAAGCCACAGACTCCCAGTGTACATTATATGTTTAGATATTGTAAGAATGATTCCAGGACAAAGACAGGATAGGATTCCTTGCCCTTAACTTGTTGCTCTTTGTATATGCATTTCCTGTCATTTTCAAGCATTCCTTACATGCTGTCACCATAAACTAGAAACATACAAAGCCAAGCTGGGGTTATTTATGCATTTATGTGTATAACCACAAGAAAGATGGAACTGCTGCAAATGCTGTCATAGTTTATGAGAAAAAAATAGGTTGTAAACCTTGAAATGTTTACCAAATAGGAAGAAGAACTGCTAAGAACAGTGAATGATGGTATAACAAGGAATATGGAATGTGTATCTCTTGTAAGGAAAGTTATTGTGGCTACATAAAAATGTCCTCGTTGCTATTAATCCGTGCCTCCTCAACCCTGTGTCAGCAGGCGTGAAATAGGTCAGTGTGAATGCTGAGGTACTGCAGGCTGCCTGTCTGATGACAATGACCACTGTTGTCTGACATGTATATGCATATAGGGTACAATTTATGCCATGCTGATTGTTTAATTTTCTTTGCTCTGTGAGCTCATGTTTCTATTTGGCACTACAAAACCTAAGGTTTCCAATTTCAATACAGCAGGTTTGTGTTTTCCATTATTTGAGGACTTACAAAATACATGTGTACGTCATTCTACTGGTATATACGATGAGTGACACTTTTTAAAAAATAGCATGCAGGATTCAGAATACCTTTTATTTACTAGTACTAAATTATTATTTAAAGGGAAAACAGCTGGAAAGAGCAACATGAGTGATTATAACATCTGGAAATCCCAACTTCTCAACACCTCCATTTATTCACCAATTCAGAAGGAAAATCTAATAATCACCATGTCTCATAATGAATTGTGTTAATTGCCTTGTCTCATTTAAGTCATCGATGATTTGTGAAGCAGAATAACCTGGAATAGGGGCAGAGAGCTGAGTCCAGAGACTCCAAGCTGTTTTAACAAAATCTCAAACATTTGATTTTACCAGTAAAGACTCAGGAGCCAGATGCTGCGGTGAAAGCCTGCTAGCTCTGAGAGGCAGAGAAAGCATCCAGCTGACCTTCCTTCTCAGCCAATGTCCCTTCTCCACGCTGCCTTCTCCTCCCTTCAAACTGAGTGTCCCTTCTTTCTACTTCTTGTGCGTCTGTCTCCCAGACTTCCTTTCACTGTTGTTGTTGTTTGTTTGTTTGTTTTTCCTGTGTTCACTTTCAGTCAACTGGTTGCTTGCTCTGCCTCTTGACCAATGGTTGACTTTATTTTTTAAAAAAGTAAAGTTTACAGAAAGCTCTTGAATTAAAGGTGTGTGCTAGGGCTGAGCCACCACAACTAGAAGTGGGTTTTTCAGTACACAGTGTCAGGGTACATGGTGTGATCAAACATCCTTGAATAAGCTGGGACCCACAGTATGACTGAAAGAGCAATGGAGTTCCTTTCCAAGGTTTCTGGACAGATGTCCTCCCTCACACCTGGCCTCCAGATGCTCAAAATACTTAGAAATGCTGACAGAAATTGCAGAGCGCCAGGAAACAGGAGATCCACGTGTGAGTTTGATGTCTTCCTAGCTACAGGAGTATTGTTTTCTGAAGCACCTTTTGGCTTTATGATAGGTGGAATTGCTGGAGGCATTGTTTACCTTCAATAGAATAATTGTGTCTATGGGCTGGGTGCATAGTTCAACTGTAATGTTCCTAATTAGTATGAATAGGCACCTGATTTTGGTCTTAGTAAATGGAGAGAAACAAATTGAAAATCAGGCTTATAGAGTTACTTAGGCAGTGTCCTAAATGACAGTCTGTGCAGCTCAGGCTGAACTCAGAAGGGTTGCTGGCAGACAGGGAAAAGCTTACACTTAGCCTTCCTTGGAATCCTGTGAAACTGGTCCACAGCTAGGCTAGCCTCCTGGATCTTCTCACTCCTACCTTCAGGCTGTTCTGGCTGGCACATCTCTCTGGCTTCAGCTAGTCTCTTTAAAACTGACAAGGCTTTCTCCAACATTTTTGCTATCTTCTCTGCCCCTAAGAGGTAGCAATGGCAGCTTGGGACTCCCCAAATACCTCTGGGAATTCTCTCTCTACCACTCAATAGTTGCCTGGCAGTTTCATATCTACAATAAACCCACCAAGAGAGCAGTTCAGTGTTTCACTGTACCCTCCCTTATGGCCATGA